TGCTCATTCTCCACCCCTTTCCTCCCTTGCTTTATTCGTGCCCTAAACCTGGAAACAAACTTTCCCCCATCAGTTTAATATGACCACTCAGCCTCTCTACTTGCCTCTTTTGAAAGACACATATTTTGTCGGCAAACCTGAATCAATCTGCAGGGACCTTTTTGTAGTCAAGCTTGGGCTTTTAACGGGTACGTGATAGGAACAGATGAATCTGTTCATATAGGTTTCTCTCCAGTTACCATCTTCACAGTCTTCAATTCAGTTCATCACAGTTCTGCACTGGTATAGGATTAATTTTTTTCTTAAGCCCTGACAAAGAATTGTCACCATTTTTTCCCTAACATGCATGTGTTCCCACGCAATTTTGCATTTGCTTCTGCCGGTTTTTAGGGTTGCCACATGTCTGAGTTTTCCTGGACACATCCAGGAATCAGACTGTCAAAATAGCATCCGGGCAGATTTTCACTTTGGGGAATATGGCAACCCTAGCAGTTCTACCATATTTTTCGCTCTATAAGAGGCACCAGACGACAAGACGCACCTAGTTTTTGGAGGAGGAAAACAAGAAAAAAAATATTCTGAATCTCAGAAGCCAGAACAGCAAGAGGGTTCGCTGCGCAGTGAAAGCAGCAATCCCTCTTGCTGTTCTGGCTTATGGGATAGCTGTGCAGCCTGCCTTCGCTCCATAAGACGCACACACATTTCCCCTTACTTTTTAGGAGGGAAAAAGTGAGTCTTATAGAGCAAAAAAATACGGTACTTTTTTCTCAGTTGGAGAATTGCATCACAAAATTCGGAGGAGAGCAATTCTCATATATTGTTTCAGGAAGTGCTAATTAGGTAGGTCCGCATGAAAATGCAAACTGACCCAATGCAAACTGACCCAAGTTCCATTAAAAGCAGTAACATTCAACATAACAACAATCACAAATATTAAAACAACCTTTAAAGGTACTATGTCAGTAGAGCAAGGAGAGCTCAACAGTTAGTTGCAGCTGGCCATTACCAAGTCCATTTCTCCTCAAAAATCTCATGGGGAAAGTGTATATTTAAATGGCACTGGAAGATCCACAATGAAGGTGCCATGCAAAACTCCTGAAGGAGGGAGTCCCATATACAGGTGACCCCAAAAGAAAAGGCCCTCTCTTGTGTCAACAATGACACAATGAAAAGAGCCTCTTCTGCACGTCTCCGTCTGTACCGGGTAATATAAAGGACTGCGGTCCTTCAAGTTTTGCTGTCCCAAACTGAGCAAGTCTTTATCAACCCCTTGAACTGGGTTTGGCAGGCTATAGGTTGGCTGTGCAGCAGAAATCAGTATATACCGGTAATTCCAGATATCTAGAGGTCCCATTATGTCCAGATATCTAGAAGTCTCACTAGCTGCAGCTCCCAGACAGTGTTAGAAACTCAGCTATATAAACTGTGTGCCAAATGGCTCCTTAAACTGGGGTTTCGCCAAAACGAAATATCTAGTTGCCATCCTGGGGCCAAGTTCTTCTTAGGAAGGTTCCGGAGCCTGTGCGCGCTCCCATCGCTAGATAGGTGCGTTCTCTTTCTGTTTGTCTCTCCCTCTTTCCTGCCACTCCCCCCCGGCTTTGGTGAGCGAGACTTTCCAGAGAGGTGCTGCTGACCCCGCTGCCACACAGCAGCTCAATACAATACGCTTAGGTGGCTTCAGCTGCGGGCACCTGGTGCCCCCCAGAATTCGGTACCCGGGTGCCCCGCACCCCTTGCACCCCCAGGTAAAGACGGCCCTGAGCGCAATGCTCAGTTGGGAGTTCAACACCCCCTGGAGAGCCACAGGTTCCCTGTCTCTCCACAAAACCATGTTTTGGCGTTACTTGTGAAAGTGGCCATTGTGCAAGCAAATCAGGACAAACGCTCAACCCACAACTCCTCTGAAGGAGACATCTGTTAGAAAATGGGCGACCAGCCCTCTGCTCCTGCTTACGGATTCAGCCTCGCAAATGTTAGCCTCCTGCTCCCACGTGGCTTAGCAATGTTCGGCACTAAGAGTAACCATAGCAATTTCTCCACACAAATAAATTCCTCTTTCCAAAGGCTCCCCTCCTCTCTCTCTTTTTTCTTTCTCTCACCCCAGGCTGGCATGGGTAGATTTGAATATCAAGGAAGGGTGCAGACCCTCTCTGGGCACAAACAGAAGCGACCGCACACATTAACTTGTAGAGTTATGTCTGCAAAGATTTGGGGTTGAAAGGGTTGTTTGCAAGTTCAGCCAGTCCCCTTCTAAACCACTCTGCAATCTCATCTCACCGTGTGTCAAGAGAGGAGGCTAAGAGGAGTGTTAATCCCAGCTAATTCTCTGGGGTCATGAAGGAAACATGAGGCTGGCTTGAATTTTTCTTTTCTTTTTTGGTAAGTGTGGGAGTGCTGGGATTCTGTAAGGTTCTTAATTAAAGAGGGGCATCGTTGCAGCTGCTGAAGGCTCAGAAAGCAAATTCTAACAGCAAACTAGGTCTCTCTCACACACATACCAAAGCAGGCCTTTGCAAAATGACCACAGTTGTGCCTCATCCAGAGTGGAAACCATAAAACAGGGTGCAAAGGAAGAGGGAATTAAGCAGGCACAAGATAAATAAGTGTTCTTCAACCTTGGTTCCCCATATGTGGTTTGACTACAACTCCCATCATCCACATCCAATGGCTAAGATGGGAGTCATAGCCTGCAAAAATGTTCATGAGCCTGTTTGCAGGCTAGTTAATAATAAAATTTACCAAGCACACTGGTGGAGAAGAAAACAAAGCTGGGAATGGGGTTTCCTTCCTACCTGGCAAGTATGGAAACTAAACAGACTGGCAGAGGAAGAAAGGTGAGATATACCCCTCATCTGGAATTCTAACTACAGTCAAACCTTGGATCCCGAACACCTCTGTTTTGGAACATTTCAGCTCCCGAACGCTGAAAACCTGGAAGTAAATGTGGCTACTGTTGCGTATAAATATAATGTCTTGTACTCTTCCTTTAGACTTCCTGGCACTATTCCCAATAGAAAACCTTCTGATGTTTTCCTAAATGAATATCTGAACATTGTTTTCATTTCATTATACTGTATATTGTTTCCCAAAATTGTTTGATGTTTAAACAATTCCACCATACAGTCGTACCTCTGGTTACGTACTTAATTTGTTCCGGAGGTCCGTTCTTAACCTGACACTGTTCTTAACCTGAAGCACCACTTTAGCTAATGGAGCCTCCCACTGCTGCCACCGCGTTGCCACGTGATTTCTGTTCTCATCCTAAAGCAAAGTTCTTAACCTGAGGTACTATTTCTGGGTTTGAGGAGTCTGTAACCTGAAGAATCTGTAACCTGAAACATCTGTAACCTGAAGCGTATGTAACCCAAGGTACCACTGTATATGCATCATAGTACCTTTTTCTGTGCTGCCCCAGCTCTGGGTGCAAATCTGCTCTGGAGCGTTGGTGGCAAACCCAGAAGGGATTTAGAGAGCAACTGCACAAGCAGAAATATTTGCACTGCTGGGACAAGTTACTTGGTGCTACAATGGACGCAACACTTAAGATCCTTGATCTAGGGTCATGTTTTCATTGCGGTGGCAAATGTCTGCCTGGGCTGTACCACTTCAGACTCTCCATGTGTGAAGAATGTGGTGGGATATGGGGCTCCCATCCAAGGCACCCAAACCAAACACTACCTGGAAATGCAAAAAACTATTATCAGGGAGAAGGGTTCTAGTCGGCACTTCCTTCCCTCAGAGAACCTGTTTTCTTATCTATGGAGATGATGTATTTATTGCCAAGAAATCTCCACCTGCGCTCTGATCCGGCATGGCCCTAAAGCAGCAGCGAGAGAACCAAGCCCAGGTTTGTCCGTAAACACACGACCGCCGTTTCCCCTCTTGTTTTGGAGACCCACGGGGCCTGAAACCAATCCGGACCACCCCTGCAACGCTCCCCGGCAAAGCAAGCCATTCATCTTGGTTTTAAATTCAGCCCATCACTTGGAGTAGGGATCGGACAAAGAAACAGCAATCAAGCGATTTCCATGCAAGGCAGGTAATTACGGAATCTGTTAAATTACAGTGATTAGACGCCGCTCCAGAGGAGCACAAAGAACATTCCAAGCAACTTTTTTGGAGGGGGGAAAGCTGAGGGGGGGGGGAGTTTTAATTAAAACAGCTGCACGCCTCTTGCAATTGATTTGATCCATTCCGTCCCGTCCTCCCACCTCATTCCTTGCAATCCACCACCTTCTTTTAATTTTTTTAAATAAAAAATTGCAAAAAGCAAGCAGGTTAACAAGAGACAAAAGGCAGAGGAGGGAGTATAAGTGGATCAAGGAGAGACTTGGGAAATCCTCGCACAATAGGTCTGAATATGGCATTAAATGGTTCATTTGGTGGAAAGTGATTAAACGGGAGAGATTTGCCTTTCTTATGGAAATGGGAGCCTCTGTGCTGTTGGACCTATGCTAATGACCTGAAACACACACAGAGAAAAAGGAGGGCAGTGTTCAAATGCTATATAATACACTACTTTGCCGTGGGGGCTCCCGGAGGTCATTTGCATGAATACAGTCACGCAAAAAAGGGTTCAAACCCGCCAATAGATTCGGGGAGAAGGATGGCTTGGGCAGGAATCATTCGCGCCGGAGTCAAAAGTTCACGGCACACAAAATCGGTATCTGGTCCAAAACCAACAATGCGGATTTTGCCTCCCCTTTTCTTTTTGCCACAATAGTGCGGAGACAAAAGAGGGGTTTCTCTCTCAATTATTTGCAGAAAAGCTATACTGCAAGCTTAATTTAAACTGGGGGGGGGGGGGGAGCGAAGTTGCAACCACTTGGAGGAAGCGGACACGAGTGCTTAAAAATAAATAAATAAAAACTCCAGCGCTCAAAACCATATAAATCCTCCGGAATCCCAATTTATGTTTCACAAGGTAAGCTGGTTAGGCTCCTGGTTATAATGCTCACATCACAATAGCAGAATCTTTTTTGGATTTTTTTTTTTTTTTTGCTATGGGGCTCTTTTGTTTTTTCCCCTCCCCCTGATATAAATGGTGCCAGCAGGGTTATCCCTTTGGATTACGAAAAGGAAGGGACCCGACTAGGGAGAAACATCAGTTGGAGAGGTTTCAAGGGGGAGATCTTTGACTTCCTGTGCGGCGCTGCAAATTCCGTTTCCTAATTCTCGAGATTTGGTGGGTGGCTGCTGTTTAAGCCTTCAACACCTTCGCATCCTAAACTAACGCTTGGCTTCTGTGTTCCTGTTAAGAAAGAAAAAAAGAAAAACCCCACAGGAGTGGGAAGGGAAGCAGGCAATGTTTCAAGTCTAATTGCTGCAAATTTCAAGAACCAGTTCAGGCTTATAGAAGTTAAAATGTTTGTTTGTTTGTTTGTTTAGGAGGGAAGGATGTCACTGGAAAGACTGAAACTGGCATACAGTCATACCTCATGTTACGTCCGCTTCATGTTACGTCCTTTCAGGTCACGTCCCGCAGCAACGCAGAAGTACCGGAAAGGGTTACTTCCGGGTTTCGCCGCTCACACATGCACAAAAGCGCAAAATGATGTCACGTGCATGCGCAGAAGCGGCAAATCGCAACCCACACGTGCGCAGACGCACCGCTGCAGATTGCACTCTTTTCATGTTGCAAACGGGCCTCCGGAACGGATCCCGTTCGCAACCAGAGGTACCAGTGTATTTTCATTCAGCCTAGGGCAGCCTCACCCCAGCTGCCATCAAGCATTGCTGCCTCTTACCAAGAGCAGGAACGACAAAAAGTGCAAGGCGGGGGCAGAAACAGAGCCAATCCGTCCCTCCGGCCACTGTGCCTGCACCCAGATCCTGCGCATCCAAGAGGCAGGGGGAAGCAGCTGCCTTGGGTGGCTGAAGCCCCCACAAGGTGCCATCCACGCGATCACCATGCCCGCCCCGCCAACTCTGCTAGAGAAGAGCCACCGGCGTTGGCACCGACTGCCGGCGAGATCTTGCGAGACACATAAGTTCACGTGAAGTTTTGTCGAGATCACAAATTACACAGTCGAGTTTCCCGCATTTGGGGAAATCGTGGGGGTCAGCACACACGCAGAGTGATGGATGAGCCTGGCTTGCTTAGTCGGTTAGAGTGTGGTTGTGATGGCCTGGGGCTCGGGCTCGGAACCAGAGGAGTCTCAGTCTGCACCGCATACTTTGCCGGTGAACCAAGATGGCATCATCTGAACCAAGTCTGGGGCCTGACCCTGAAGAGTCCCAGTCTACACAGGTTGCCCTGCAACAAACACCAGCTGGGCCGAGTCAGGGGCCTGAGCCTGCCCTGGCTTCAGATGCGGGGATTACCTCATTGCCTTCAGCTGGGCCATCATTTACAGCTGTTCCAGGAGAGGCTGAGGCGGCCCCTGGGTCTAGTAACCCACCGACGTCTCCCGAGCTGCAGAGACTGAGGTCTGAGAGAAGGAGAGACCTGAGTACTCGCAGGAGGAGTGCTTGCCTTCAGGTGAAACAGGGAGGTGAGTCACTGGGGGATCAGGACCGGCCATTACGCCAACAGAGATAAAAGGCTGTCGGACCCTGCCCCAGGTTGTGGGAGCAACATTGCTGTATGCCAGATCCTGCCTGAGATCTTGTACCTGTCTTTGCCTGGTTTCCTGCCTCGTGTACTGCCTTCACCCTGTTGGACTGACTCCCAGCGGAACCTACGGATTCTGGACCGGACCTGGATTGCGGTTCTTGGGTCCTCAGGCCCAGCACAGTGGTGCTGATAATGGCAAGGTTGCAGCTTTGATCCCCGTAAGGGACAGCTGCATATTCCTGCATTGCAGGGAGCTGGACTAGCACATCTGCCAGATCCCTTCCAATTCTATAGTTCTATCTCTCTGGAAATTGGCACCTATGCTGGCACCACTTCCCCAGCGGTGATGTGGGCAGCAGGGGAAACTTCTGGTTTCACCTCTAGCACCACCCTGAGCTCCTCATTCCTCAGTAAGCCAAGCACACAACCAGAGAGTGAAATTCACCAGGCACATTCTGCACCTGGCTATTGGGCACTTGCGACCAAGCGAAGATGCCCGGGTGCCAGGATATTGCCTGGAGGTACATGCCTGAGGATCCTGGGACCTTGACTCTTTTCACACACTAGCAACACATCCTGTAGAATTCTATCTGTTATATTTCATCTGCACAATCAGAATGAATTTCAGTAACGAGAAACCTGAATTGAAAATTACGATGTTCAAGATATCTGCCCCCAAATAGCAACTAGACCAGGGGTCAGCAAACTTTTTCATCAGGGGGCCGGTCCACTGTCCCTCAGACCTTGTGGGGGGCCGGACTATATTGTGTGTGTGTGTGTGGGGGGGGAAATAAACGAATTCCTATGCCCCACATATAATAACCCAGAGATGCATTTTAAATTAAAGGACACATTCTACTCATGTAAAAACACCAGGCAGGCCCCACAAATAACCCAGAGATCCATTTTAAATTAAAGGACACATTCTAGTCTTGTAAAAAACACGCTGATTTCCGGACCATCTGCGGGCTGGATATAGAAGGCAACTGGGCCGGATCCGGCCCCCGGGCCTTAGGTTGCCTACCCATGAACTAGATGTTCCATTTTGGCGACTGTAACCGTGTTTTAAGGAGACATTTGGCACCTAGCTGAGTTTCTGACATGGCACACACAACAGTGGCTTGCCTGCTACTGCCTGACAAACACTGTTTATGTGAAGGGAAGACTGGCCTAACAGGTGATATTCCAGCCTGGGAATATTCCAGTTCTGGGAAGGGAGCAGTTAATGGGCAGAAACATCGGAGATCAACTGGGCTCTTTCTCATTACTAAATTTTTGGAGATTGGCTGGGGGAAGAGCTAAAATGCAATGAACTTGGAACTGTACCAGTCTTCTAAAAAAAATGGTAAGAGCCCTTCTCCCACGGCTGGCAAATACACCCAGAAATGTGACAGGGGTGTTTAACAATATGACACTACTAGACCATACGAAGTCCTCAGTGTGATGTAGTGGTTAAGAGAGGTAGACTCGTAATCTGGGGAACCAGGTTCATGTCTCCGCTCCTCCACATGCAGCTGCTGGGTGACCTTGGGCCAGTCACACTTCTCTGAAGTCTCTCAGCCCCACTCACGTCACAGAGTGTTTGTTGTGGGGGAGGAAGGGAAAGGAGAATTAACAGCTTTGAGACTCCTTCGGGTAGTGATACGAAATTAAAAGACGCCTGCTTCTTGGGAGAGAAGCAATGACAAACCTAGACAGCATCTTAAAAAGTAGAGACATCACCTTGCCAACAAAGGTCCGTATAGTAAAAGCTATGGTTTTCCCAGTAATGATGTATGGAAGTGAGAGCTGGACCATAAAGAAGGCTGATCCCCGAAGAATTGATGCTTTTGAATTATGGTGCTGGAGGAGACTCTTGAGAGTCCCATGGACTGCAAGAAGATCAAACCTCTCCATTTTTAAGGAAATCAGCCCTGAGTGCTCACTGGAAGGACAGATCGTGAAGCTGAGGCTCCAATACTTTGGCCACCTCATAAGAAGAGAAGACTCCCTGGAAAAGACCCTGATGTTGGGAAAGATGCAGGGCACAAGGAGAAGGGGACGACAGAGGACGAGATGGTTGGATAGTGTTCTCCAAGCTACCAGCATGAGTTTGACCAAACTGCGGGAGGTAGTGGAAGACAGGAGTGCCTGGCGTGCTGTGGTCCATGGGGTCACGAAGAGTCGGATACGACTAAACGACCAAACAACAACAACAAGACCGTACGAATTTGAAAAAAGGTTTCCCAATGCATTCTCTGTAGCAGTTTCCACATGATTGTGCATGGACAATGCAGCAATATGGGCACATGCCAAATGGGAGTCTTTGTAGCCTGAGGAAGATAGGAACCTAATGACCCAATTTGCAAGCCATAATCGAAATTGGGAGCAGGTCTCTGCAAGCAACACTTCTTTGAGCTGGCTGCGTTGCTGAGGCAGCGAGGAGGGTTTAAACTAGGACTGCTGACCTATTAAAGGACTTTTAACTGTTTGCCCTTTCACAGAGTGATCAATGAATCAAATCAATTCCCTTTAAAATATGACTGCATGTCACCAAATCGTCAGTACAGTATGGCTTGTAAGTCATTGCTACCACACATCCATGGAAGGAATGGCCTTATTTAACAATTCCCTTTCCAGTACCTGTGACAGAAATACCTCAGAAACAATGCAAGGACGTACCCCAAACTCTCACTCCACTGACTGAAATGCAATTTCATAAATTAATCAACTAAAGTTTAAGTGGATTTATCTCCCAGATAAATTGTTTCGGATCAGATCTATGTCACCACTTTTTTTAAAAAAACAACCTCACAGTGAATGGAGGGTTGCCAATTGAAAATGCAATTAATAAGCCAGTGTGGTAGTTTCGATGTTTTTAGCTTTGTTTGCTAAATACAAATACAATAAACATGCTAAAGTAGATCACTCTTGCATTCTTTTTCTGCTTTTCAGCTGGGGCCTGTTACTGTGCCATGGCCCGATCCGCAATAGCTGTACTACCCTGCACAAATGCTTTAAAAAATAAATAATAAAGAGAAATGGACCCCCAACTGCAAGTTTGTGTAAAGGAGAGCCTGGGGTCTCAATGACTAGCAGAAGACTACAGTCGCACCTTGGTTTTTAAACAGCTTAGTTCTCGAACGTTTTGACTCCCAAATGCCGCAAACTTGGAGTTGAGTGTTCCGGTTTGCGAACTATTTTTGGAAGCCAAACGTCCAGCGGAGCTTCCGAGGCTTCCAATTGGCTGCAGGAGCTTCTAAACCTCTGCTTCCTTGTGGGACATCTTCAGGAGAAGAAAAGGTTCAGGAGTTAACAAATTGAGAGCGGAGTCTCTAAGGGGGTTGGATGACTCCTTCCAGGAACTCCTGCAGCCAAGCTGGTGCCAAATGTATTGCTCTGCTTTCCTCTGGACCACATCAGTGAAGCCAAGAAGGGAGTCTTGTCATCTGGGCAGCCCAGGACCTCCACTGCCCAGGCCTGCGCCCCAGAGAGGTAACTTTAGTGCTGTTAACACAGCAGAAACAACGCAGGACGCAGCAGTTACGAGTTGCCGGTCTCTGCAGCCACAGCAGGCGCTGTGATTCTCCAGTGGTCTGACTTCACCCCTAGAGGTGCACTCCATTGCTTTGCAAGACAGACTAACGCCAAGAAAAGAGTGGTGGATTTATTCCAGACCAGAGGTCGTCAAACTAAGGCCCGCAGGCCGGATACGGCCCACCGGGCTCGTTAATCCGGTCCGCAAACCTTGCGGACCCTGCTGCCTGCTCGGTTAGTCCCCGTGCTAAACAGGCACAGTGCAGAGGCCTCGCCGCATGGAGACTGACTTCAGTGACGCGGCACGGCTTCTGATTGGCTGCAGGAAGCTCCTGTAGCCAATCAAAAGCTGCGGATGCCTCTGGGCGGGCAGCGACGCTGGCACGACTTCTGATTGGCTGCAATAAGCTCCTGCAGAAAGCTCTTGCAGCCAATCAGAAGCCGTGGACGCCTCTGGGCACCGCCCCTTCCTTCCTGCTGAGGCGGCCGAGTGGGAGGA